AATGCTGTTACCCCAGAGGTTGTGCCTGCCTGCATAAGATCCAAACAAAATCAAGTCAGCCACAAAGTCAGCAAGGATGGAGGAGGGACTCATGAAGTCTCGTCCAGAAGCAAGAGTCAGTTTCTTCAGGGATGCTGCTCCTGGGATGCTACCCAAGCTCCAGGAGATGGCCCTGCATGCACATACAGGTAACACTCAATGGACTTGGTGGGAGTTTTAGATTTTTTTTCCTAAGTAGTATATGTGGTTGGGAGGAAAACAGTGGGGGCCTAGGAGAAATATAGGACGGAATTCGAGGTAGATTTGATCAAAATGCATTGTATGCACATATAAACCTCGCAAACAACAAACAGAAGAAATCACCAGTGAATATATTTGTTCCTTGTCTTTTTTTTTTTTTTTTTTTGGAGCTTGTTTTTTGTTTGTTTGTTTTTTGGGGCTTTCTTTTGTTGTTTTGTTGTTGTTTTTGCTGTTGATTTTTTTTTTTTTGTAAATGAGGAATTAGAAATTTGTGTTTTCTTCTTGAAACAGTTTCAGTAGTCTCTCTAGGAATTGTGTTCATTTTTCCTCTAACAATCTGATGCCACAATTATTTTCATTTCTGTATAGCTGTCAAGAAGTCCCTTTTATTTCTGGTTTTAGTAGTTATAATGTTGTCCTGGTACTTTTACTGTTGCTATAAGTAAGTACACCAAGTAGGTAATTTATAGAAGACAGAGGTTTATTTATATCAGTTCTGTAGGTTGAGGGTCCGAGGGCATAGCACTTGGATCTGCTTAGCATCTTACTCACAGAGCACAGGGGAGGAAGTGCCTGAGCGCAAGCCTTTCCCTCTTACAGAGCCACTCACTGATGCAGTCTCGGGAACCGCCCAGCTGCCCCTGTCTACACAACATGCTTTTATCACACTCACACCCTCCACTGTCTTCACGGACATTAAGTGTTTTTTACCTACTCGGCTTCTCTGTATGTGGGTGTTAATACCTGCATGTATGTCTGTGAATCGCGTGCATTCCTGGTGGCTGCCGAGTCCAGAGGACGGTGTCAGATCCCTTGGGAAAAGAGTTACAGACAACTGAGAGACACCAGGTAGGTGGTGACAACCAAAAGGAGTTCTCTAGAAGAGCAGTGCACTCAACTGTGGAGCCGTCTCTATAATCTCCCAATTTGTATCGCTTAAGTTTGGCTCTGAGTATTCTGAAGTTGTTCTGTGTGCTTGTTTTGTTTAACTGATATATCTTCCAGATGAACTGACAGTTTTATGATAAAAAGTCCTTCCCTAACACTTTTTGCTGTAGTTGTACATCTGGTAGGTAGCTCTTCCAACATCCTCATGGTTACCACTTAGATAATATACTTCATCTTCCCTTTTCAATTGTTTTAAACGTTTTTTTTGGGGGGGGGGAATGAGGCATGCATGTCAAATGTGGGTTCCAGGGATTCAACTTGGGTCATCTGGCTTTGTGGCAAGTGCCTTCATCAGCCCCCATGTCCTCTTATCTCTACCTGTTTGTATTGTGGAGCATATGAATGGATTTGTTTATGTCTAGACATGCTTTGGGGGGTAGGGGATGGATGCATGTAGTAGGTGGAGGCCAGGGACGCTGCCAAACAGCCTACAGTGTGCAGGATGGCTCCCTCAACACACCCAGGGAATCTCCGGCCTCATGTGGTTAAGGAACCCTGATCAAGGAAAGTCAAGGGCAGAGACCGCGAGGTAAAACATCCACAAGAGATGTGTCTGGGTGAAGTTACTCCCAAATTAGTTTGTTAAAACCTCTACTTAAGGGGCTGGAGAGATGGCTCAGTGGTTAAAAGCACTGGCTGCTCTTCCAGAGGACCAGGGTTCAATTCCCAGCACCCACATGGCAGCTCACAACTGCCCGTAATTCCAGTTTCAGGAGACCGAACTTCACATAGACATATATGCAGGCAAACCATGAATGCACATGAAATAAAAATAAAGAAACCATTTAAAAAAACTCTAAAGTAATGATTACTTTATCATGCATTAAACTGCTACATATAAAAGTGGACCTATGCGGGGGGGGGGGGAGCTCTGTTTTATTCAGAAATATAAACTGATTTTCTTTACAGTGCCATATTCTTTTTCTGTTCTTTGTAAACCCAGTCTGTCACCCATTATCAACAGAGCTTTTTATAAACCACGCATACATATACTTTGCCATCTTTGCTGTTTTACAATTTAATCTGATTTATCTACTTTAAAAAAAAAACAAAAAACAACTTAATAGTCTGTTGCTTGAAGCAAGCCCATAGTTCTGTGTTTGGTCCCTGAAACCACGGGGGTGGGGGGGTGGGGGGGGTGGGGGGGGAGTCCTCTGGATCACTGGGTGGGTAACACCTCCTGCAGAGCTGAGACAGTGGGTTACCTGACTGTCCAAGGGCATGAGGACTGACGTACACATTCAATGTGCCCTGTGCAGAGATCAAACAGTCAGCTTCCCTTCCATAGGAACAGACTAGGAAAGCTGAGCACTGATTCGGGCATAAGCAGATTCCTGAGCTCTCAGACTTTCTGGGACACCCAAAATACAAAGGGACATTAATAGCAAGCATATATATGGATAAGAACAATGTGGTGAGAACTCATGTGGGGGGAAAAAAAAACAGCCGAGGTTTTTAGAGCACAGAATCTTTTTTAAAACTGTATTTATCTTTATGTTATGTGTATGAAGGTTTGCCTGAGTGTAAGCCTGCGCACCGTGTGAGGGCAGAGTCACCAGATGGCAGAACACTGCTAAAGACACCCTGAAACTTCGGGTGTGGGTGGCTCTGAGAGGCCATGTAGGTGCCCAGAACCGAACTCAAGCACTCTGAAAGGGCAGCAAGTGCTCTTAGCTGCCGAGCCATCTCTCCATCCCTAGACCACAGAATCTTAAAGTGAATTTAAGGTTAATAAATACATTTGCCACAGAGACTCTTCTCTGCCAGGACTGGGGACTGGCTGACTGAAGCCAACACACTCATGAGATAAAACAGCTTACTTCTTCTCTTCTATGCTATTTATTAGTTTATTATCCTTTTTGTTTGTTTGTTCGCTTTGAGACAAGATTCCTCTGTGTTACCCTGACTGACCTGAAACTCACTCTGTAGACCAGGCTGGGCTCAAACTCAGAGATCTGCCTGCCTCTGCCTCCCAAGTGCTGGGATTTAAGCCGTGTGCCAACATCTCCCATTACTCTGTTTCCTATTAACAAGTGTCTTCAAAGGTTCAGCAGAACATCAATATCCTAGTAACAGGTTATGTTGATATAGTCCGTAAAGGTCTCATTACAAACATTTTTCTAGTAAGTCAAGTGTTTGGATGTGGTTCGTCCCCACAAACATTACCGCTGAAATTTGGCGTGCAATTTTAAAAGGTGATCACGTCACTAAGAGAGATTAATGCAGCTCTCACAGGACCGGACTGGTTGCCACTGAGTCAACAGTTACAATGTGGAGATGCTTTATGGATGACCCCACTGGCTTTTGCCGAGGAGGGCAGTAGTTTTCAGGCCTCACAAATGGGGTTGCCAGGAGCTGGAGAGACACCGCTCAGCAGGTAAGAGCACACGCTGCTCTTCCAGGGACCATGAATGAGTTCAGTTCCCAGCACCAACAGGCAGCTCACGACAGGAAAGCCGGTGTCCTCCTTCTGGATTCCAGGGCACCTGCACTCACACGTGTACACATGCACACACGTGTACACATAATTATATAAACAAATAAATATTCATCCTGATATGGTTCTGTATGACTTTAATCTCAGCACCTGAGAGACGGAGACAGGCAGATCTGTGTAAAATCAAGGATGGCCTGGTTTACGTAACAAGTTCCAGGACAGTAGGGGCAACATACCCAAGAAAAAAAAGGGGGGAGGGGCTGCCCAAGCTTGTAGCCTTTAGAACTATGAACCAAAATTCAAACCTTGATTCTTTAAAAATATAAAAATAAAAATTCACCCAGCACTCAAGAAGTAGAGACAGGTGGACCTCTGTGGGTTCAAGGCTAGCCTGGTCTACGGAGCTAGTACCAGGATAGGCTCCAAAAGCTACAGAGAAACACTGTCTCCAAAAACCAAAAAAAAAAAAAAAAAAAAAAAGCAATTTCATCTATCTTATTATAGCAAGAGACCATGGTAAAGGTCACCACGCTAACAAGGAGGATGAGGATGGCTTTTCTCCACAACTGGGTAACTGGAGAGCAAGCCTACTAGTCCCTGGGGCCCAGATTTCTTGTCACAAGCAGGTAAGGTATTTCAAACCATGCAACTCCAACTTGAGTGTGCAAGATCCGTTTAAATCACCCATAACCAGAGTAAGACCCAACGTTCTCACTCATTGCTCAGAGTACCCATGAGCCGGACTGTGATGATAAACCCTCCTCTAGAGGCACTGATGCCCACATGTCATGCATCCTACCTTCTGGAATGAGGTGGGTGAATGCCTGTCCAGCACGGGGTGCTAAGCACCCAAATAAAACACAAACTGATATTTTACACCAAGACCTCTCAGAATAACATGCATGGTATTAGGGAGACTCTAGGTCCTCAGTTTTCCAGAGCAAAGCCCAGGAGAGTAAACAGCAGCAGGTTCACTGATAACCACGAGTAAACTAGAATTCAAAATGCACTGAGTGGGTTCTAATAACACATAGAGATGTATTTAAGGAATGCTGGGCATGGTGTCGCACGCCTTTAATCCCAGCACTCCCGAGGCAGAGGCAGGCGGAGCTCTGTGAGTCTAGGGCCAGCCTGGTCTACAGAGCAAATTCCAGGACAGTCAGAGCTACACAGAGAAACCCTTTCTCAAGAAAATAAAAACAAAACAAAACAAAACAAAGAAACACATTTAAAGACTTGAAATGAAAATACGAACTCTTAAGTAAAAAGACTTATCTTCATCAACAATTTTATTTTTTAAGAGAAACATTTATAACAAAAGGCTTTTCTTATGTAAGTTGAATATTAACTATGGAAACAGAAGGCCAGTTCTCACCCAAATGGTACTCCAAGGGCACCCAAGGGAGTCACCAGGACTGTGGGGACCGCCGTGTAAGCTAGGAAGTTTCCGATCTGGCCAACAGCCACTGTCAAGAGAATCACAAGGATACCACTGCCATTTTTTTTTATCACCGATCAAGATTTTTCAAGAGTCTGTTCTGAAAGGGTTTCCTTGGCACCATTCCTAAGGAAGAGAATCTACATGTTCACAAACCCCAACGGCAGAACTTCACTGGTCGGGGGAGTAATCTCAACTCTACGGAGATGTTCCCAGTATTAACCACAGTGATAAGCACAACACTGAATATATTTCCAGTCTTTAATTTCTATCTCAAAACACTTTTGCCTTTGCATCCCTATTTATTCATTTATTTACTGACAGAAGTGTAACATAAAAATAGCACATGGGGTACCATGTGATGCCTGGGCACATGCATGTGCTACATACTATCTCAATCAGGTTAAGCACAACTATCTACTTAAACATATTTCATTGCTTCATGGGGCCAACACTCAAAATGGCTTCTATTTTTATGATACACACAGTAGGCCCATTGTCTACAGATGTAGCAGTGCGCCAAGGAACCTTAATGCTTTTACCAGCAACTTAATACCCAGGACCAACCTGCTCCTATGTGAAAAGGCGGCCAGAGATGGGTTATTCAGGCCTCCCAGGTACCTGACTTAAACAGAGCTTAAACCAAAGAGCAGCCTCTGCCTCAGCTATGAAGCTTAAAAGCCAGCATGTGACAAACCACATTGTTCTTTGTTTTTAATGTATAGTTTATTATTTAAGCTGTAGAACATGATCTTTCAAAAAGACTTCTTTGTTAAATCAACTGTGCTTACAAAGCAAGACAGCCTGAATATGGTGTTGCATCAAACGCATCAGCTCTGCTACACACAGAGGAAGGAGAAAGTGCTTTAACTTCTTCCGCACCAGGGCTACCGACCTGGTGGCCAGGCAGCCGGAGCCTGGGCCTCCTTCTCCCAGCCAGCATCCCACACTTTCTCATCTCCTCTCTTCCCACAAAGGAAAAGGACAGCAGGGAAGGAGAGGGAGTCTGAAGTGCAGAGTGGAGAGCACACTCACCTTGTCCCTCCCAGCCCCCACCTTGTCCCTTCCAGCCCCGCCCGGGCAAATGACTGACTTTAGAAATGAATAGAGACCAGAATGCCACTTACTTGCAATTGTGCCAGCCCACCATACAATGTCTGTCAAGTAGGAAGTACCTAAAAAGAGAGAGAGAGAGAGAGAGAGAGAGAGAGAGAAAATCAGAACATCAGAAAAGCAGATTCATTAGGTGTGTGTGTGTGTGTGTTATACACACATACACATCTATAGGCGTGTGCACAGCTGTGCACATGTTTGGGCCAGAAAAGGGAATCAGGTATCCTGCTCTATTGCTCTTATTTGCCTTATTTCCCTGAAAGAGGGTCTCTCCCAATACTTGGAATTCAATTTTTTTGCTAGGTTTGTGGCTAGCAAACCACCAGCAATTCACCTGTCCCTACTCTGGGGTTACGGATACTCATAAAGCCATTCCCAGAGGTCTACTGGGTGCTAGGATGTGAACTCAAGAGCCTCAGTAATTGCACATCAAGCATTATTACCCATGGAGGCATCTCTCCAGCCTTTGGAAGCAGGTTTATAGATTGAAAGCTATATGGGTGCTGGAGAGGTGGCTCAGAAATTAAGGACAGTTAGTGCTCTTGCAGAGGACCCAATTTCTAGCACCCTCCAGGCAGCGCCCAATTGTCTGTAACTCCAGCTTCAGGAGATCTAACACTGTTCCAGTCTCTGAAGACACCTGTACATGCTATATCCCTCCTAACATGCATGCATGCATGCAAGCACACACAACACACACACACACACACACACACACACACACACGTGAAATTAAAAAATCTGTTTCAATCTTTTTTTTAAAAATCTATATATGTTGTCAAGTAAGAGATTTACAATTACACTTAAGAGAGACACCTTCATATAAAAACTAAATAATAAAAAAAGAATTGAGTGTTATCTTGCTTATTTGCCTCATAAGTGATCTTTAGTCTATCAATGGGTGACAAGCCACTAAAAGTGGTGAGGGTGTTTTGGGGTGTCTTGCTTTTTTTCTCAACCAAGGCAGGCTGACCCCCAAAGACAAACAATTTGCCACAGATTGGTTTCCTTTGGCTAAATAAGTCACTACCTAAGACACAACTATTCTTGAGACTTCCCACCCTATTATCTTGCCTCACGGGGACCTTTAGTTTTAAAAGTGTATTTTTGACTGCTGTGTGTAGGGCTATTTTTTCCTCAGACCCTAACCTTAAGGTGACTGTCTGGTGCAGAGGAAACTACTTTTCCCCTAAGTCTGATGGCTAGACAAAAGTCAGCATTCCTCAAGAACTTTGACCATACTTCCCCTCTACCAAAAGAAGCCATTTCCCTTATCACTGGCAGAGGGGTTCCAGGATGCAGAAAGAAAGGAAAAGAGAGAGAGAGAGGGAGGGATGGAGGGAGGGCGAACACACACGAACGAACACACACACACACACACACACACACACACACACACACACACACACACACAAAGACCCATAATGGTAACAGAGGCCCAAACTTGATCTCTTCTGGAACCTGGACAGGGGCCTAAGCTCTGCCTCATTTCCAAGTTCGTTTGCTTATCTCTTCTAAGGAACTACTGCTTTTTGTACTCCACGTGTCTTTGCCTAAATCACTGCAGACACAAGTACCTGCAGATGTGCTCTGAAGGCAGCTCTGCACCTGTAACCGCTAACCACCGAGAGGCTGGGGGGGGGGGCAGCAGCAAAGGCTCTCAACTGCTCCCATCCTTAACAGGAGCACCCACCACGTTTATCTTCTCCTTCCTCGGACACTTGGAAACGATGGGAAAGTTTCCACGGAATCCCGATCAAAGTCTGCGGGGTCCAGATTCAAACACTCTTCCCTCATCTTTCCCTGCCACGGTGCCCAAGTTTGCTTCCTATTGTTATCACCAAAACCATCGCCGAAACCAACATGCACAGCAAAGCTCATTTGGCTTGCATCCCCCAATCACAGTTCCTCATGGAGGAAATGCATCAGAGCAGAAACTCAAACAGGAACCGGAAGGCGGGAACTGAAGCAGGAGCCAAGGAGGAACAGTGCTTACTGATCTGATCGCTGTGGCATAGTCAGCCTGCTTTCTTAGACAACGAAGGACCACTTGCCCAGGAGTGGCACCCTCACAGTGGGCTGGGCCCACATCCATCCCACATCAATCATTAATCATGAAAATGCTTTACAGACTTACTTACAGGCCAGTCTAATGGGAGCATTTTTCTCGGATTAAACTGGCAGGTGCTTATCCGGGAGAGGACCCCTTTAGACTGGCAGATCCACGGGAGTCCACATGGACCCCAGCCAACCTACATAAGACACCTCCCAAGGACGGACGCACACACGCAGCTGCCTATCCCCCACTGGCATCAAGCTGGCCACGCGGCCAGCAAGGATGGTGATGGTGGTCGCGTAGCCAGCCAAGGTGACGGCACTTACGTGAGAGCATCACAGTGTTGATAGAGGGGCGCTCCGTGGCTCCTCGTGGTCCCCCAGCGCCACAGGGGACTCTGATGAACAGCACAGCTCCACGCTTTCTCATACCCACTCGCTCTTCCTTCCAGCTTCCCGGAGGCACGCTAAGGCAATAGTTCTCACCTGCACGCTCCACTTGGGATAATTCTCCAGGATGCACTTCTGACCCCACACCGGGGAGCGGGGACCCAACCCTGGCACCTGCAGACTCTTAAACGACCTCGCTCCCCACTTTCCTACCATGAGGTTTTATTTCCTTCTGCTCTGTCGTAGGCTACATTTCTCCCTTCCATTTACTATAGTCCGCACTGACATAAGGACATGGAGATAATTTCCCAGGTAGTAAGCCGTCGCCTCAGGAGTGCCGTCTAAGGAAAACACTGTGCCCATTGGTACTAAATGCCGGTCTAAAAGCGAAAGCCTCAGGCATGTATTCGAGCAAGCTTCTCTGAACCTAGCCTTCTGCTAACTCAAGCGTGGGTGAGTATTCCATCCAGATGATAGAATCTCAGCACAGAGACATTTCAGGTGAGAGAAATAACTGCTTCCACTCTTTCCCAAGGCAGAAAGTAACCCAGACGAATCGGACATTAAAACTGGTATTCTCTAACCGCACTGCAACCGCGGTCACTCACCCAGAGGTGCCTGGGTTCAAATGACGGGAAAGAGGACACTCTACCCAGCCGATCTCCTTGAGGGTCCCAAGCAAACAAAAGGAACATGGTTTTTCCATGTCAGAAGCTTTGGTATTCGTCTTTCCCTCCTCAGGGTCTGGATGGGAAATCTGCCTTCATCTCCCTCGGACACTACAATACATCTTCAGGAAGTGAAAGAGGTCTGACCCGGAGAACACAAAGAAAAAGAAGCTAATATTTCACCGTAACGCCACAGGCTGTAATACCAGCGGGATGTCGGGAAATTCAGTCAGAGGATGTTAAAAGTTTAAGCTGCAACAGCACCGGGCAGCAAAGCCTACTTTGCAGGACTCAAGCAAGGGAAATGGTCTGAACTGTCACGTGTTCAGGCTGTCATGGCTCTCTACCAGGAAAGGGGGCTCCGTAACACAAAAGTAAACACGATCCCTGTTGGGTCCAAACCCTCTTTTTCAAAAAGAACACCGTAGGACGCATACAGACCCTGTCTCAAAACAAGCTGTCAATAGGACTCAGATGAAACATCTTTGCCCATTACATAGAGGCCTACCCTTACCTCCATAGTCTCCTATTCATTCCAAATTACCAGCAAAGAGGGAAAAGCCCTACAGAGTGGAACTTCCTATCAGCCATTCTGTTCTGTGCCTGTGGTACTCCCCTTAACAGAAGTGCCTAGGCCCGTGCTGAAAGTTATAGTACCTTTTCAATCACAAATATCCAATACGAGAGGCTAGGGAGCATTTCCCAGGAACATCCCAATCTACTAGTTATTTCTAGGCTTTAACCTTGACTTATGTCTGCTCACTTGCTACATCCCTGGAGGAACACAGAGAATCTTGGAGGACACACTGAAAATGCATGCAAGCAATTTATCTGGTAACGTTCTAATGACCACCTCCCAGATCAGGACTTGAGCGCCTCATCGGGGAATCATAAGTACAGGCAGATGATAGAAAATTCTCGTTGCAGGAGGGAAACATTAGCTAACTATGAAAACATCAGAGAAGACAATTGCAGAAAGGAAGAAAATCCTGCCCTATTTCCCAACAGGTTAACAGAGGCTTTCAGGAATTCACCAACGTGGGCCTACATTCTCTACAGTATAATCTCTTCTGGGTCAACATTTTATTATCTACCAGGACCAGATATTAAAGAACGCCCAAGAAACTGGAGATAAGACCATAGAACCCTCACAATTTGCTGTTGGACACTGTGATCTTCACGTTTAACAGCCACGATCTAGAGGAAGACCGAAAGGAACAGAGGAGATAATAAATACACTTGTCCTTGAACACATTTGTTAGACCTATCCAAAAAACCCACATAAGTATCAGATTTCCAGAGAGAGAGAGCGAGAGAGAGAGAGAGAGAGAGAGAGAGAGAGAGAGAGAAAGGTTCAAGGCATTGGGCTAGAAAGAGCACTAACCACTTCCTCCCCCATCCTGAGTGTTCCACATGTAAGGTCCTGAATATTTACCTTACTACATTTATATTATAGTAGCAAAATTAGGGTTATGAAGTAGCAACGAAATAATTTTATAGTTAGAGATCACAACATGAAGTTGAGAATCACTGCTTTACACCCTGAACCTTGGTTTGTTTGTTCGTTTGTTTTGCTTTTGAATAAAAACACCCAATCACTGGAGCTTTCCAGCAGTATACGCAAACAACCCTCTCTGGAGGGTTCAGAGACAGGCCCCATAAGCTGCTGCATCATTAGAAACAAACCTTAGAGCCTAGTTTTGACAAAGGAGCCATTCTACAATACATAAGGTTTTAATTTGTACTAGAGAAATCTCAGACAAAATTACCATCAAACACCATCAAAATCCTAATCCTTCTGACACTTCAAAGCCACCAGATCTAAGAAGAAGGAGGAGGAGGAAGAGGAGGAGGAAAAGGAGGAAGAAGAAGCCAGCTAACTCAGCAGGAAGAAAAATCACACCCACATCAAGTTAGGGATAACTGGATCCACCAAGATTCCCAACTCT